GAGCTGCTCCAGTGCTGCCCCCGAGTCACAGGGGCTTGGGGAACAGGCACCTCCCCTGGCCCGGGGGCTCCCACAGCTGCATCATCCGAGTCCTCTGGCAGCAAATCCACTGGCCACAAAATCCAAGTCCATTGGCCAAGTTCTCCCCTCCTGGCACCTTCAGGGAATGTTCCACCACATTCCTCCATGAGTGCAGGGGCAGAGCTGCCATCTCGCCATGGGCTGCAAGGAAACTTCTGCTTGGGCACCTTCTTCCCCTTCTTCCTGACCAACCACCAGCACCCCCTGACTCTCCAGCCCAGCTCTTCCCCTTTAAGTGCCCCTCTGCTCAGCTCTTACCTCAGTTCTTGCATATATTAATGGCAGAGCTTCATCTATTGTCCCTCTAATGGCTCCTTGGCTGGTTTTGGAAGCAGGGGCAGCTTCTCAGCTTCTCACCGGAGCCACCTCTGGGGCCCTTCCCCTGCTACCAAAAACCTCACCAAACCAGAACAGAAACCCCAGGTCCTGCCCCTGGGGAGGGACAGCCCCGAGCTGGCCTGCTGGAGGGCAGTTTTGCAGGAAAAAGCCTTGGCCATCCTGGGGGACAAGAGCCTGAAGGTGAGCCAGCAACCTGCTCCTGCAGCTGAGGAGCCCACCAGCCTTTCTGGGCTGCCTGAGGCAAAACATTGCCAGCAGGGCATGGACTCATGGAATCATGGAATGGTTTGGGTTGGAAGGGACCTTGCAAAAGACACTCCTTCCAGGGTCATGCCCAGGCAGTAATTAACCCTTATGATGGATAATTAGATACCAAAGCTGCAAATCACACCCACCTTCCTGCCACATCCCACTGCAGGCTGGAAGGGCCTAAAACATTTGCTTGGGACCATGAAGGGAGCTGGGTGGCTTTTCTTGGGAGGCAGCTTCTCTCAGCTGCCTGTTCAAAGCCTCTCCCTCCCTTTTGGTCCATTTTACTCTTCCTGGAAACTTCCTCTTCCATGATGGCAAACAGGAATAGCTGGTGTTGGGTCTTCAGGACTCAGCCATGTTCCTGGGTGTAACATCTGATGGGTTGTCAGGAGCAGTGTCATAGAACCATAGAATCATGGAATGGTTTGGGTTGGAGGGACCTCAAAGCCCACCCAGTGCCACCCCTGCATGGGCAGGGACACCTCCCAGCAGCCCAGGCTGCTCCAAGCCCCATCCAACCTGCCCTTCAACACCCCCAGGGATGGGGCAGCCACAGCTTCCCTGGGCAACCTGGGCCAGGGGCTCCCCACCCTCACAGCCCAGAATTTCTCCCTCCCATCTCAGCTCCAGCTCCCTCTGCCAGCTGGAAACCCTTCCCCCTGCTCCCACCCCTCCCTGCCCTTGTCCCAAGCCCCTCCCCAGCTCCTGAGGCAAAACATTGCCAGCAGGGCATGGACTCATGGAATCATGGAATGGTTTGGGTTGGAAGGGACCTTGCAAAAGACACTCCTTCCAGGGTCATGCCCAGGCAGTAATTAACCCTTATGATGGATAATTAGATACCAAAGCTGCAAATCACACCCACCTTCCTGCCACATCCCACTGCAGGCTGGAAGGGCCTAAAACATTTGCTTGGGACCATGAAGGGAGCTGGGTGGCTTTTCTTGGGAGGCAGCTTCTCTCAGCTGCCTGTTCAAAGCCTCTCCCTCCCTTTTGGTCCATTTTACTCTTCCTGGAAACTTCCTCTTCCATGATGGCAAACAGGAATAGCTGGTGTTGGGTCTTCAGGACTCAGCCATGTTCCTGGGTGTAACATCTGATGGGTTGTCAGGAGCAGTGTCATAGAACCATAGAATCATGGAATGGTTTGGGTTGGAGGGACCTCAAAGCCCACCCAGTGCCACCCCTGCATGGGCAGGGACACCTCCCAGCAGCCCAGGCTGCTCCAAGCCCCATCCAACCTGCCCTTCAACACCCCCAGGGATGGGGCAGCCACAGCTTCCCTGGGCAACCTGGGCCAGGGGCTCCCCACCCTCACAGCCCAGAATTTCTCCCTCCCATCTCAGCTCCAGCTCCCTCTGCCAGCTGGAAACCCTTCCCCCTGCTCCCACCCCTCCCTGCCCTTGTCCCAAGCCCCTCCCCAGCTTTCCTGGAGCCCCTTCAGGCACTGGAAAGCCAAATTATCCCCCAGCTGCCTGGGAAGG